CCCTTAACAATACATTTAATAAACAGTTGGTTATCCACGGCACGTCTAGTATTTCTGGATTTCAAGGTGAGATTGAGAGGACAAGATAGAATATCTGTGTCGGTTGGCATATTTCTTCCTGGAATTTGATGAAAACAAGTCGGCACATTTTTACAGTATGCAAATTAGAATAACACTGTGGATAAGTTGGCCGGAACATTTTTGCTGAAAATGTTTTTCCCCCCAAAAAACTTGGTTGAATTCTCAGAGAGGCGATTTTTTCTTGTCAAGGGGCAGGGGTAGTCTAGCATTATTGGAATTAATTATGTGACTTGTATATGCTTTGCAGGTGGGATTTGTACATGCCTTATTCGGAAAAGATCTTTAGAAGTGAATGGAATCATCACATTGTCATTTGTTAAACCCCGGCTTTTGCAGGTCCTATGCAACCCATTTGATGGGCGACGCACGACGGGCGACGGAAAATGGCATGTTTGGAACTGGTAAATGGCAGAATTGGGACACAACAAAAAACAAAATACGACGGGTGACGGCAGATATGGAATTCCATACTTGCTAGTGATAGCGAGGGTGACAAGCGGCTTTAATGTGCAGTCAGACGTGCGGAGTTCAAGAGACAAGAGAAGGATAACGCCGCAGAAGCACCAGAGGCCGTACTAATTTTCGTCCCTCAACAACCTTCAGCAACCTCCCACAAGCACCTCTGGAGTGCTCGCAACACCTCACCAACAAGGGAAGGCAGCAACCAGATCTAACCAGACTTGCTGGGCTAGCTTGCGGACAGATTGGACACTTCCAGTATCAGTGTCTTCAGAGAGCTGGAGGAGTACCAGCAGTGAGCCTCTAAAGTTAAGTAGTTCTAGTGGGCGTTTAGACCACGAAATTCAAAATTCCATCCTTGGTTCTAAATTTGTTGGTGTCGTGGGTCGTTTGCACCATTGCAAGCAGTATTTGCTCGATCACCACCCGTCTTCGTTTGTCCAAAATATACTGGAGTACCGTTATATAATTCCCTTCTAAGTGTTTCTTCCTAAAGCCTTCTTGAGAAATAACAAGTCCAATTTAGATCGCCCCGAGTTTTTCGCCCAAGCAACATCAAAATTACTAGCTACGTATACAAGAAGCATCACAGAACAAGCATCCCCCTTATGTAGTTAACCCGCTTACAATATCCGACGGTAAGAAATTAAGACTTGTCTTAGACTTCCGACAGGTGAACCACTATACTATCTACCTAAGTTCAAATATGGAGGTTTACCGGTATTGCCAAATATGTTTTCTGAGAAATTATTTTACATTTGACCTAGAATCTGGCTAGCATCACATAGATATTTTTGCCCCATATCGTAAGTTTTTAGGTTTCAGTCGGAAGTTCGAAAAGGAAATTCGATATCTTTTATTTTAACTTCCTTCCTTTTGGTTTGAACACAGCCAGTCACTGTTTTACCAAAATGCTAAGGCCTTTAGTCAAAAGATGGCAAAGCAAGGGTCATTCATGTATATTGATGATGGTATTTCTGGCCATGCAGATAAAATTTCAGCTTCGGCGGCAAGTCAAATTGTGCAAAAAGACTTGGCATTCACCGGTTGGAAAGATCAAAAAGCGATTTCCGGCCGAGACAGTCAGGCGAATGGTTGGGAATGGTAGTTGACACAGTTTCTAAGTAGTTCAAGCTGCCAGAAAAGAAGCAGTCAAAAATTCAGATCGCTGTGTGTGAGTGTATGCAAAGCGTGTTCCAGTACGTGAGATTGCGAGAATCACAGGTTTCCTCATATCTGCATCCCCTGCCATAGGTCAACTAACCAGACTGTTTACACGGCATTTATTTTCGAATCACGTGAAACTTGGTCAAGCAAAATTGTGCTGTCCCCAGGTTGTATTTCAGTATCACAGTTTTGGCAGAAAAATCTAACTGAAATTAATGGTCAGCGCTGTCTGCGCACATCTGCACCGGTTTTGAGGCTCTCTGTGTTGAACTTTTTCGCGCACGCCCGCGGAGTCCACACAGTACATGGAGTATCCGGTTTGTAAGTGTGACGCCACTTCAGTTTAAACCACGCCCACTGTACAAGATACACGACCATCGCTGGTACGTTAGTTTGCGGTCAATTTTCGCTATTTATCTTTGGATTTTACATGTCGAGTGTTCCTGAAAGACTCCTCCACAAACATTTTCAGCCTGAAAAGTCTGAATTTAACATACTTTTATGTATTTTGTGTCTTGACTCCTTACTTTCAATCGTCTGATCGTATTAAGAATTGAAGCTGGGAGTGCACAGATCGAGGCTAAAAGCGTCGTATTGGGATCCCTCTATTGCCACTTCTGCAGTTTTCTCGGACGATAGTGAATCTGGTTTTGGTGGTTTCTGAATGCTGTTCACAGATTCCTTATGCACGGGTCTATGGACTCTGAAAGGAGAGTTTGACAAAGAGAGCTCAGAGCAGTGCTGTATACGTTGTGTTCCATAGGTCCAAAGTTGTCTGGCCTTAAACTGAAATGGTTCACAGACAGTAAGAACGCATGCCTTATTATATCAGTTGGAAGTATCAACCCAGAACTGCGCGATCTTGGTATTGAGTTATATAACGCCTGTTTGCAATTTAATGTCACCATAGAGCCAGAGTGGTTTCCCAGGGAGCAAAACGCTCGTGCAGATCAATTAAGCAGAATTGTTGATCCAGACGATTGGTCACTTAATAGAAGTATATTCACATTACTAGACAGGAAACATGGCCCACACTCGATCGACAGATTTGCTCGTCACTATAACACTCAGGTACCCAGATTTTATTCCAGATATTGTAAAGCGTACAATTGACACCGCTATATAGTATTCGCTGGGCACACGCTTGGACCTCCTCCGCCAACTGGGAATGACTTCACAAAAGTGGTTGCAGAGGGAGTTTGGCGTTCTTTGGCCAAGCCAAAGTCTCCCAAAGAACCAATTACAGCAGAAACTCTCACCAAAGTCAAAGTCAAAGATAGAGGGGGTAAGGCTAGCGACGTGCGTTTGCTATTTATATGTCTTGTGTCATACGCAGGATTGTCCCGATGCAGCGAGTTAACTGCACTCAAAGTTCGTGACTTGTCATTTTTCCCTAATCATATGACGGCTCCCGTTGGAAAAAGGAAAAATGACCCATACAGGCAAGGTCATACGGTGTATATCGCCAGATCGGGCAATCCTACACGCCCTGTGGCAGTTGCAGAACGATATAGTATATATCCTCGCTATAAGTAACGAAACGCTTGTTAGGCCTAAATAGAGTTGATGACTGTCAGCCATACCAAGAGTAAAACAGTTATACAAAGTTATCATTTGTCTATTTCAGTTGGGGTGTCGGGACTGAGTTGAGATAAAGCAAAATATGCTATCAGCTCTTACTTGATTTGTGTATTGAGTGGGCATCGTTTTGTCATTTACATACTCTCGGCAGGATTCTGCTGGATTCATTACCCCGGTATTGGTCCCTACGGAGGAAGTCTGAAAGACGTCTGGAGACTAGGCACGGGACAGGAACCACTGTAAATTTTAAAGTAATGGCTCGATAATGGTTGATGCCTGATGGTCTCAGGACAGCCTTCCCATTTTGAAAATCGTTCTGCCGAATGCGCACATTCAGTTGAAAATAAAAAAAAAATATCAACCCTAAAACCCATACGCACCTCTTGAAAGACCTGCAGCTGTTCTTCAGGGTGTATTTAGCACCAGAACCATCATTGACATGGTCGCAGACATTGCACGGTAGATTTTTCCTAGAATACTTTTCAAAGTCTTTTATCGTTAACATAATGCAGTCATGCCCATGCGCAGAGAGGCAGTTCAAGTTCCTGACCAGGGAGAACAATAACTATTTTTGACTGGTGCTGGGATGTGAATTTTTTTTTCCAAGTGACACAGCGACCGAGGTTAACTTTTTTGTTACACCGGATTGATAAAACGTTTTTTGCGTACTACTCAATAGAAATTTATACTAAATCGTAGCAGTACATGTATAACCACTGCAAGTGGACCATGTTTCCTTGTGCATTATACTCGCACTCGCCGTAATGCTGTACCTTCAACTGAGAAGTTTGACTCATTGGGAAACACAGAATTCTATAATACATGTAATACAAACGCCACATGACATCCCTCAACAACGTAAGATCAGCAAAGAAGACAAAATTTGGTCCAGCAAAATTTACAAAAAATGCAATACTTTAATGTGTGAAAATCAATGTAACATTCAGGCTTTCTTCCTGGGATGACATCACGGTTTTTCTCATCAACATGAAACTCTCAGTAGTATAAAAACCTAAAAAGGCAGTAAAATACTCTCTGATATAATGAAACAAAAGTTGAGAAAATAGTTAACTAATACACACAGGTGAATTTTGAAGGTTTTGTATTGAAACAAATTGAATGCACCTACCCTTCAACAGGGATCTGTATCAAGAGATCAGCTTTTGCATAGGCAAATATGAGTACAAAAGAGCATATCATACCGCAGGAAAAAAATTAATTTACAAACGTGAGAAATATGAGCATTTTGAACGAATCGAGCTTGTGAGCATTTTGCCTAGCCCCCCCCCCCCCAAAAAAAACAAAACCACAAGAAGGGCTGGAAATGACTTGCAGTATAGCGAGATTTATTAAATGGTTACGTGTGATGGTGAAAAGGGTCTAGCCCCCCCCCAAAACAAATGGTTCCAGAACCGCGCATGATCAAGCTCTTTCTGAGGCTTTTGACGAACATCTTTACCGCACAAATGTGAAAATAACAAAATCTAATGACGTTCTTCCATCATCGAATTCTGATTTGAAGGATTTTTTATTTCAAAATGAATTTAAATCGGTCTTGTGTGAAATTAAAGGATTTATTTCTTAAATTGGTCGGAAAATAACTCTTCAATAGATCAGTGTATTTGTTGAAAATAGATAATACTTGCACATTGCAAAGAGAGTAATGTCTAAATATTTTATCAAGCTTAAAATATGTGTGAAACACTCTGAGCAAAAAAAATAATATTACAGCCACGAGAAATATTAACAGATAATGATAAATACGGACAGTCCGTCAATGATGGTTTCAAAAACCGACAGCAATGGAGAAAATGTAACTACCAAAAGCTGGAATGGCATCCGCCTTCGTCTTTAGGCATTTTAATCTGTTCTTTCTGCTGTCAGAAAATTGTTGGCCTACACCAGCAACACAAAGACGATGTTAAACAAAACATGTCTGGTTGATTAAGCCAAAAGTTAAAGATCCACTGACTGTATTTTTTCATTACATTAAGTTTCAACAAATTTATTGTGTCCCCTTCCCGACGGCTACAAAAGTTAACAGCTTTTTTTTGGGGGGGGGGTTAACACACAAAATGCAGTTTATATAACTGCATGTAGTTCGTTCAGCTCACAAAACTTACAGTGTTTATGCTGTTGTTTTTTTCCTTTTACACGACAGTTTCAAGTCTGCCGTTGTTGTTCGCTAAAATAATTTCAAAATAACGTTTTATTGATTGAACTACAAAATCAACATGTAAACTAAACAATTCACTATTTAAAAAAAAAGAAAATCTCCAATGTCCCGTGGAAGTTATTCCTCCGATGCTGTTCCAAATTCGTAGAAACCAGTCACACAGTGTGGTGCCCATAAATCTTGTAACTTCTGCCTTTATGTAAATAATTTTAAGACACGATATAGGGCTCCACATAAAGAAAAAACACATCAACACAAAAACTTCATTCCTAAGAGATTATACAATCCTTTACAAATAAAGCTAACACCGCAACCTTTGCAAGGCTCTCATAATCCGATTATTATGTTGGAGGCCCATGTTGAACTATATTGAGCGCCAAACTAACACGAAAAAGTTCCCTTATTTACAATAAATCATTTATCATTCAGATATTGAGGCCGCATAAACCAACGTAAACCCTCCGATCTCTCTTACAAAAAGGCATTTATAAAGAGATAACTTAAAAGTAAAGAACCTTTTTGAGTGGATTATTCATCATGAATTGCGTTCCATTTCGATGAAAAATATAAATGTAGCTGGTACTGCCAACCAATATTTTCTCACGGACGTACATGTATAAAAACTTCCCATCAGATGCTTTCGCGGGAAAACAGAAAACACAACCATAGCATGTACTATCATGTACATTATAGTGTAAAGTTTATCTTTGGAAGAACTCGACAAGTGCCACATGAAGTGAATTAAGCTTATCTTTATGGAGAATTTTTTCACTCCCAGAATAACAGACTCAGCTTTATGAGCGCTGATAATCGCGATAGATGTCAGAACAGTTAATATAGCGCTAAATGCTGTTGTTTAAAAAGTGTAAAACTGTCTGCATCATGAGTTTGTGGAGGTCTGCTCCTCACTTCTAGTGGGGGTTTTCTGTGCTCAAAGAGTTCAGAGGTACATATAGTTGCAAAAGATTTCTTAAGCGTGCATTCCACCAAAGTGACACAGGTGACATTTATCAGGCAAAAATTTCTAAAAAGGCAAAAATGCACAAAACATTCTTAACCTTGCATAAACAAACACTAATACAAGACAACGTGTTATATGGTAGTTAACGGCATTTATCCTTTCAACAGTGAGAGCTGATCGATGGAAATGCGATTCCGTCCGCTTACATGCTTGTTGTTTGATCAACACCATGTGGTTGCTCTCTATAAACAAAAAGAAAGAATCGAAATTGAGACCTGACCCATCATTAATTCGAACTGGACCGATGTCGGGCGCGTAGACAGAAGTTTGCGTTATTGTGCACCTGTTTTGCTTTTGTTTTTCTTGGCTTTCGTATTGTGAATGGGTACACGTTTCGAAAACCAAAAATGCTATCTAAGCGTGTATGTTTGTTAATAGGTGCACTAATGTCAGTTGATAGATTAGAAGGACGCAACAAAAGGAGTACAATATTTATTTTCGCGGTTCGCTTTTGTTTTCACTGATTTGTATAAGCACACACAAAGCTTTTCGAGTCGACTTGGGTGTCGTTCCTTTTCTTAGCAATTTTGTCCGGGGGGATATTTCAGTCATCCGTCGAAACACTTTTCGTGGTGCAGCAAAAATTTTCCAGGATAAAGGGGATTCAAGGATTCAGATGATTTCTATCATAGTAGATAAAAAAGTACCTTACTGATGTGATGATCAGATCTGCATCGGATTTCAGACTGTAAGTCCTAGGGTGTCAGGAACACAAAACAAGAAACAATTTTAGAAATGAAAAATGTCGTTCATGGTGTAATGACCGAGGTTGCAATTGAAGTATTAGTAGGCATGCCCATGTTGAAAATGACTGAGTCCTGAAATGTTTAATGACTTGCACTTTTTCGAGGATCTTTTTTTTTATAACAAATGTAGATTAAATTTCTCCGGTTGCCTCATCCACTTTGCAAAGAAGCATCATAAAGCAACCAATAATTATATTTACTAATAATAATGCAACAGAATTATATATTTGAAGAATTAAATAAAGCTAATAATAGTTAAATACAGTACCTTGACGCTCTCTTGGTCAAAACGACTTTAGCAATCGCTACAATGAGTACAATTGACACTACACAGCACAAACAGATCACAAGAATCAGTTGCCATCCTGACAAACCTTTGGATACGTGGAAAAGGAAGGGGTATAGACTGTTAAAAGGGAGATTAGTCAAGCTAATTGTTCATTGATCACATTTTATACGGCGAAAAGGATCTATGGTCTTTGTTTTTTCACTTGTTAATGGACTTTCAACGGTAATAGAAAAGATTCCCACCTGATGTGTCTGCAGGAGTGGTCGGTTCATGATCGGCGAGACAATTTGGGACTTTCCCGGTCCACGTCCCATTCTCGCGGCACACGAGTTTGCCTTGTCCATGCAGGGTGTATCCTTCATTACAAGTGAAACTAGCTACTCCGCCAACATGGTTATGGGACACATTCTTCTTGCCGTTAGTCGGTTCCGTAACCGAGTCACAGGTCACTGTGTGCGTAGGGACAAGGATTAAGTCAGTGTAAACTGACATCTCGACAAAGACTTTTGCATTGTCTAAATAGGAAGGCATCGTGAATCATTCTCATTAGAGTTTCTAAACTTGCAAATGAGGCATGTTATTTTAGGCTTAAATATACTTGATATGTCACTACTGATCGAGTTACTCTAGTTATCTCCTCAAATTTCTACCGCTGTTTTAATATCTGAAGAGAGAAAAAAAGCAGTTTGCTACACGTCCCCCTAAACATAAACGTCTGGGTGATGTTAATTTTGTGTCTTTATTTTACTCTGATTAAGGACATAATTCAGTTTTACGATGATTGTGTAATGATGATGAATGATGGTAGAAGAATGGCGCATCTCCTTTGTTCTGTTCATCTTCATCTCTTTTCCTCTGATTCAAGGGAATCAAAGTAAGGGAATTAGTCAAGCTAATTGTTCATTGATCATTTTATACGGTGAAAAGGATCTATGGTCTTTGTTCTTTCACTTGTTAATGGACTTTCAACGGTAATAGAAAAGATCCCCACCTGATGTGTTTGCAGGAGTGGTCGGTTCATTGGAGATGTCATGATCAGCGAGACAATTTGGGACTTCCCCGGTCCACGTCCCATTCTCGTGGCACACGAGTTTGTCTTGTCCATGCAGGGTGTATCCTTCATTACAAGTGAAACTAGCTACTCCGCCAACATGGCTATGGGACACATTCTTCTTGCCGTTAGTCGGTTCCATAATTGAGTCGCAGGTCACTGTATGTTTGGTGACAACATTAATCAAGCTGTAAGTCAGAGGTTTTGATGTACATGTTTGTATGAAGCCTTTTTAACTATTATAGTGTTTACAATAAATATGTAATAAAAAATCAGAGGCTACATTCGTGAAATCTAATTACTAATGAAATTACTAGTAAAATCACTACAAATGTGAAAACCACTTGTGAAAAGGATGAAATATCAGCTATTTCAATGACGGTTCGAAAAGACTTGTACTATCACTTCTCTTTTGGAGTGATTTTCACCATTGTGGAGTCGTATTCACTCTTTTGGAGAGTGAGTTTTCATTCATTTGCATTTTATAAGAGTAGTAGCCAACCAGGCTTCATTGGCATACTAAAATGCTTAGTAGCCAATTATGTAGAGGAGACACGATGAAAAAGTGAAGATTCTTTTATTGGAATGGACTCCGAGCCTATTTTAATCGAAGAATATCCACTCTAATGCTTTGAGATGAATTCCATCATTTGTCCAGCGTTGCTATATACATGATTGTACGTACTATATCTCTATGTACATGTAAGCTTTACTCCTGGCCTGAGCCGTTAATTGGGTAACTTCGTCTGGGTGCGTGAACTGCTTTTCATTTACATATACAGTCATGCTCATGAAGTCAAACATTGAGACATGCAGTGAGCACCAGCACTAGATCGTAGGGTGCACGCACTGTCTTCATTTCCATGTTTCCTCTCAAGTCCAAACTGATGATTACAATGTATAGGTCTATAAGCTGCGGAAATATTCTAATTTGTTATCAAATGCTATTGACATGACTTTATGGAGCTGGAGACTTTTTACATCACCAGTAAGCAAGTTCGTCAGCTAATTTGGGAACCATAGTTCACTGTCTCTTCAAATTAAAACCACGTTTACAGCCTTGGAATAACATGCTTACTCATCAAAATCCCTTAACCACCGTAAGAAACAGTTTCTTTCGGAAAATTCATGCACTTAGCATCTCAAATGGGAAGTAATCTATTCTTTAAAATCATATTACATTAACATATAAATTTAAAATGTAAATATAAATTAAAAACTTAAAATGGAAGGATTGTATGCCAAAAAAAGTGCAATTAAAAGAGTGTTTCACTTTAATTGAAGATCTGTAATCACAACAGAAACTATAACAGAAAATATAAAAATCCGAACACGGAGAAAATCAACCCTTAGAATGTCTCAAATGATGTATTTGACTATTAAAGGCGTTTCTTGCTCCCTTTGACGTAATTAAATTGTGACGTAAATGTAACAACTGCTTTTTTGTGTCTATCAAGTCAAGTTTGATCTGTCAGTTTTAAAGAATGTACAGGAAACTTTAGACTTTTTAAAGAATTCTTCAGAATAATTTACACTCTTCAGAATAGGGTGACGTCACAAGAACGGTTTAAGAAGATCGCAACAAACTTGTAATTCATAAAACCTTACGAATTGTAAGACCTTGCTAACTAATTACAAACAGCACTAGAATTTAGGTGCACACGCAACTATACAAAATTTAGCGCTTCTTGCTGGATAGGCACGTGTGGAATGTGGTGACAACAGAGACGTCACTGTGACTGACGTCATACGCTAATATATGTCTATAACTTCCATCATTAGCAAAAAGGAAGGAAAAAGATAACTAAGGCCTATATCTGGTATACTGTATTAATGTAAATGAATCAACAATCACTGCTATACAGAAAACGTAAGGAGGGCAAACTAATCTCAAGAAGAGAATCGCTTAGTAGCAGACAAGTTGATGATGTGTGAATTCTCTCTTTTTGTATACAAATGGCCTGAGTATACGGCCAGGTGATTATATGAAGTTAATAAAGATGTGACTCTGGTGGTGCAAAGAACAACTATTGGAGCGGAATGCACACATACCAATCTTCACTGTGCTCGGAGGCCACGTGGAAGTGCGAGAAATACAGTATACAATTCTTGTTGGGTATGTCATACTTTACAGGCGCGTGTTCTTTGAAACTGGTTTGGTAGCGTTGCCCCCTACGTAACAGAAGATTCCACGTCGCCGAACTACATTTTTAAATATTTATAATACAAATCACCATAAACTGGACAGTCTACGGACAACCTCTTTATTTGCCACTATATTTGCGGTGGACCTTGGCAGCTCCAGGCATTTTTTCGGCAGATGCGAGTTATTAAATTAGTAAGCTAATACTTGTAAAATACCTTACTAGCAAACACTAAGTACAATGTTGCAAACACAAGAAAAAGGAAGATCCATGGGCAGCTACTCTCAGCCAACAACACCGTACAAGATATCTTTAGGCTGCGGCGATCATTGTTAAACATTAGATTGTCAAAATTAAAATCAGAGTCCCCGATGCACAATGGTGAGTGCAGTTCCTTTCGTTTTAGAAAGCCCACAAATTGTAAGTGACTCGGACTCATAACAAGGAGACGTTGCAATAAAATGCTGGTCTCGTAATCCAAGTTTCTGTGCCTCGGAGTCTAGACCGAACGTCATTGAACAAATAAAAGTTGTCAGACGGAAAGTCATTCAATCAGTCTCCACTGTCTTATAGGTCCCCAATTTCTCAGCATATTGGTCAGCGAAAGGCTAGTTCTAAAGGCAGACAGAGGTCACAGAATTCACACCCGAGCTAAAAATGATTTAGCAGTGTGCCTCAGTGTAATTACTATGACGGTAGGTTTGTAGAGAATACGGGCGGTTCATATTAGTGCGCTTCCAAGACTTTGCAACGTGTTGACAAATCACAGTGCTCGAAATCTGTCGACCCAGTGCGCGTTTAGAAAGGGTCGACAGATTTCGCACACTGTAAACTCTTGGAAGTGAACTGTTGTGAATCGCCAGTATAACCATTGCGTAAATTACTGTCGGGCATGAAAATTGAATTGTTTTGAATAAAAGTATTCCACAAATTAAAATACTGCGTCCATTTATGAATGAGGAACGGATGGCTTACATTCGAAGTTTTCTTTCATAAGAAATAGGGTTCAAACCTGGAACACAGAGGGGTATCTCCGCGCTCCACGTGCCGTTCTCAAGACACTGTAGCTCTCTTTCTCCTTCCAAGTCGTAGCCTTTTTCACACGTGAAGCTAGCAACTCCGCCAACATTGTTACCAGACACGACCATTCTGCCGTTCGCTGGTTCGGTAACGGAGTCGCAGGTCACTGTTTTCAATTTTCAAACAAAGCTAATTAGCATAGAAACGATCGAAATTTTTAAATTTTAAACTTTAAGGAACAAAGTTATGGGTTATAAATATTTTGCATCGATCACACTGTACTGATTAGTTTCATTTCCATCAATTTGATTCATATACGTGTGTTTTTATAAGAGTTAACGACAAATTTCATGTCAAATCAGTTTGTCAAATAGCTGTTCGCCGTTTTTGCTTCGAGCGGCAATTTAACTTCTAACCCAGCAGCATGGCCAAGGGAGAGCAGAGTGACATAATTCGGCTGGCTGGAGAATTTAACAAAAACAAAACGGGACGGTCAGACACAAAAATGGAATGGCCTAACGACTGTGAGTTCAAAACTAGGACGAGGGGATTACGACTTATGAATGGTAAAAGAGGATGGTGAAAATAAGTGTTCAAAGCTTCAAATACTTTACTGCAAAACAATTATTCCAAACACAACTTTTATTTTGCCAGTTCCTAGCCAACATTCTTAAAATATCTAAGCAGGAAGAAGTTTTGATTTTCAAACGGATAATTTAACTAAAACCCTCTCTGGGCGCCTTTACAAACCTAGAACACAGGTCGGCACTTCCCCGCTCCATGTGCCGTTCTCCTCACACATAAGTTCACTTTTTCCTTGCAAGGTGTATCCATCGTTACAAATGAAGCTGGCCACTCCTCCAACACTGCTGCGGGATACTTCCTTCGTGCAGTTAGGAGGTATGCCAAGACTGCCACAAATCACTGTTGGTGGTATTGAAACCAATATTCCATGAAACTTGATCGAATTAATGGTGCGGAAGAAAATTATGTGTTTGGCAATACTTGGAAAGTTTGAAGCATAGCCATGAGGCGTGCGTGTCGAGTTACTGGGTTTAAGGGAGGAAATATGTATTTTTTTCCTCGAAAAAAGATCCCCCCCGAAAAACATGGGAACTTTCTAAAAGGTCCGCAGTCACTCAAGCTGAAGATTATTTTTTGTTCTTCTGGTCAATTATAATTTTACATAAATTTATCTTAGTGGTTTTTAATAGTACTGTGTAATGTTAACATGAGCGTAGACATGTGATCTCCAGGTCGCTATGCATAAACATATTGGAGATATGAACATATAGCAGATGTCAATCACTTATTCTAATGAATCTGACGTCAGAAGCGAAGATTTCTTATGAACCTTAGAGGGCGTTTTACCATTATGTTTTGCTTGGACGTTTTAATTATCGATACATTTCGCGAAGTTCGTCGAAGAATTCCACCGACTTTTGACACGCCAATGTAGTGAGTACATGTTTTGGGTTACTTGCAACATCAGCTCATGTGTTGTACAGATTAAGGTGTGTAAAGAGATAGATAACAGTATTCATTTTGGGGCACGATAAACTGCGCGCTACGAGTATAAAAATTTGGCCTGTCGGACCACTGAGTAGTCATTTCCTACCGCCATGGTCGGACCATGCAGTCAGTTCCCGGCACATGTGCACGTATTAGTGTACTGAGGATTTTGTGTTGAGTTTGGATATTTAATGTTGAAGTATGAACCTAAAGATATGAATTTGGAAGACAGCTTTGACATTTTGTGCGATGTGGTTGTGCTGAAGAGTAGTTTAGGGCAGGCTTTAAACACATTTTCTGACTCGGGAGAGAGCACTCATTTTGACTCAAGGCTTTGTTTCGCATTTCAAACCACCCAGCAGGATATATAATTTTTAATGAGGATTCTTTAAGCCAATTCACAGGTTGATGCATATTTTAACACAATGGATAGATGCTATTGTATGTGATATACCGTACTGTTGATTGCAGATTGAACAAGTTACCATGCACACATACACGCACACATAACGGCACTGTTAGACTTATTTTCAGTTACAACTCGTCATTAAAGTGGTATGATACAAGGGCAAATTACAGCAATGCAGGCCCCGATCTTTACCGCGGCCACCGCGTGGCCAATAGCCGCGTGCCCTTCGAAGTTAGCCGTAATGCCCTTCAAAAAAACTCACGTGACCTTCCCTTTGCAGCCGGCTGTATGTGTAATGACAGTGTACCATTAAAGCCAATGCATGCAGGCAATTCCGAATTGGGGCGAGTTCAACCTTTTGGGCTGCGTTCAAGCGAGCTACTCGTGCTAACCCGAGTACTACTCCGAGCGCACGAACGGCAGGAGTACCGTCTTCGGGTCAGCGAGAATATATTCCCCATCACAGAGGAGTATACTCCTGACCAGAGTGTATTGCGCGTGCATCCACACTCGGGTTAATGGGAGTAACCGCTAAATGAAACGCTAAAATGATGCTTTCTTACGGGAGGGCTCAATTAAAGCGCCAGAAGCTTGAAAACCTGTTTTCCAGAAAAAGTAGGGATCAAGTATTTATAAACTTGTAAACTCCGGCAAAGTCGGCACTCCGTCTTGACTGGAAAAAATAATGACTTCAAAATGCTGACATGTGCTGCTTGCCGACTTACGTGGCGTGCTGCCTTAATACCATCCATATAATTCATTGCACCAGTTTAATTGCTTTGATCTGCCCTGGTTGTCAATTCAGGTAAGTTTGTCCTCGATTGTGATCATCGCTCCGCCCGTACTGAGGACGACCCGTACATGCCGTTTGTACTGACATAATGCTAGGACGCACAGCACACATATCATGCACCGGCACGGCGCGGGTGAACGCGGGATCTTGGGGGCCGGCCGCAAGTAAAACTTCGTTCAATAGGGGACCCCAAAAAGGGACAGAGCGCATGCGCGTGCTCTAGAGGGGGGAGGTACTGGTATTGATGCGAATATTGGGCAAACCCCTTTGCGGTCGAGCTCGCGCAATGTAAATGTACAGTACATGTAGGCCTACTCCACGTATCGACAACGAAGCTCAGGAAATCGATTGTTTAACAGCCCACCCTATACCGAGGATTATTTTTGTGGTTTTGTGGAAAAGGAACCGAGAGAACATGCCGATTTGAACGAAACAACGGCTTATAAAGGCCCACTTAAAATTATCCATGGAAATGCATCAACACACGATCGGTACTTTTATCAAAAGGCCGACTTACGAGTTGCATGATGCCGACTTGACCGGAATTTTCTGTAACCATTTAGCAAACAGTAAACATTTTAAAAGGATCCCCATTTCATTTAAATAAAAGGATTAACACTATTTATTATATTTTAAACTTAATTTAAGGGGGTTAGGAATCCTTAAATTCTAATGGGAAAGGGATACAAAATCTAAGCAAGCATTAAATCAGAGGCTGGATTCGGAAGGAAAAAATGGTAAGATGACGAGTACCACTGCCAGTAGAAGACGTAAGATCGAAGCATTGGCGAGAGTTCTGCTCCAGCTCCTGATTGCTCTTCCACGGTAATTTAGTTTAGTGCCCTTTACCATCATTTTTTAAAATTTCCTGCTCCATGTCATCCATGTTACCTCGGTTGTACGTTTTACAACCTTCTACCTCTATTTACAAGCCCTTGTTGGAGCACAATCCGTAAGTCTACCTTCTCCATTTTCCTTTATGTTATAATCTCTCAATGGCTTAATGGCAGTCCGATTTATGATTTATTTCTGGTATAGCCCTCTTGATGTCACGCTCATCTCCGCAACTCACATGCATAGTATTTTGTATAGAAGTATAATGGCACACAAGTTCTTGCCAGTGCCTGTATTGTTTTTACTATAGGCTCTGTTTTTGGGAGCTGTCAGTTCGTAATTATCTTGCCTTCATCGACTCTCATGGGTTGATCTTCATTATAAGAAGGCAGGTTCCTCAAAATATGGACCATTAGATAATTTTCAACTTTGGGTGAACAGAAGTAAATTAAATCCCAATGTCTGATGTAATGAGGAAAGTCACAGCTGATATCTGAAACAATGACGACCGTGTCCGTCTTTCAACTCCATTTGATTTGTACACATTATGCCAAATTATCCCCAAATAATCATTTTTACAAATCTGAAGGTGCTAATTTGTATTTTACATGATCAAAGTCACTCTTAGGGGTTTCGAAAAATGACATCCAGAGTTGCATTTTGGTCCATTTTATGAAGAACATGCCAGTAGTATGTTATGGATCACTGCCTTGTTCATGTAGTTGGACATGTACGCATTTTACTAGTATATTTAAGTGGAGATTTTTAGTACATGTATGTCCTGTTTTCTTATGCATTTTGATAACCGTGCATGGTAGATTTTTATCTACATGAATCTGTTTTGTATTCTATGGGGTCTCATAGTGATATTCCTCGCACGTTGTATTTTACCCTTTAATTCGTACATTCTTTCTACATGTACATGTACCTGTAGTTACGTGTCCTTTTGCTTTGACCTACATGAACATGCATGTACTTCAGCTAGAATAGACTTGTCCTAGTCCTTAGACTTTCTGCATTTCCTACATCTTGCTTTGTATTGTTATGTTACACAGTGATTTTATTCCTTGTGACTCAAAACATTCTATATCTTTTTGTTCACAGTTTTACATCGTTGCCCATTAAATGGCTCCAGTCAAGGGGCCCACTTGGAAAGGTGTTTAGGCCTCTGCATATCTGTGTATGCTTATCACAGTGAGGGCAGAAGAGGGAGGAAGGCTGTACTGCAAGCTGAAGCTAAATTACTGAGAGAACAGCAAGAAATTGAGCTGTAGGGGTTAAAGCTGCGGTAAAGAAAAGCCGAGCTGCAGCTGAAGGCTAAGATTAAAAGTGCTGATGCTGAGCAAAGGGTGTACGCCCAATACGAAGACGACTTATCCTGTAACACCCTTAACTGCCCCGTTGATGATCATCGGGAACACTCCCACAGACAGGATTTGTCCTACCTTAAGGGTCCTCCAAAAGGAGAGGAACCAGCTACAAAACAAAGATACAAGTATCCTATGACTACAGCATCAGCAGAGCCTGTAGAAACACTGCAGTTGCCAAAAGTGGAAATCATGGTGTATCAAGGTGACCCCCTGAGATTCTGGGAGTTTTAGTGAGCGTTTGAAGTCAATGTCGACAGGAGGAAGATCAACGATGCAGTTAAGCTGACTAGGCTTCTGCATTATTGCAAGGGCGATGCAAGCAAGGCAATACACAGGCTTGATCACTGATGGAGCCAGTGCAGGGGTATGCTCAAGCTAAGACCCTACTCCGTGAGAGATTTAGAAGTAAATACAAAACTGCCGATGCATGGATGAAAGGTCACAAAGGGTACTCCTGTGTCACCCGATGATGGAAAGTCCTTGAGAGCATTTGCCGATGACAGTACTTTTTTTGCGTTACAGATGGCTGTGCAAAGTCAGAGAGATAGAAAAAAGGTTAATAGGCCGCCCAGCATTGAAGACCAGGTGGCCTATGTGGAGGACGCTGCGGAGGAAGAGAATAACCCGATTTACGGAACAGCAACCTGGAAGAAAAATCGAGACACAACTCAAGCAGACAAGATGAGACAGAAGAGCCCTTGTTTGCAGCAACCTCTACACAACAAGAGAAAATGAGCAAGGAATGTTCACTGTGTAAAGGAAACCACAATTTATTTGTCTGTCAACAATTTAAGGGAATGGCACCTCAGGACAGAAGATTTATCCAGGAGCAGACTGACTGGTGCAGATGGCAAAGGTCAACACCAAGCCAATCACACTTTTAAGGCCAATTCATGAGCTTTGTGTTACGGAGTTAGTAGGTAATGAGAGGGCGGAGTAATCACAGAAAGCTGTGATGCATGCCTATATGCATCAGCAATTTATTGAAGTCCTAACGTTCACCATGAGTGCGCCGACAGATCAGAGGAGAGTATCCTAATATCTTTAATGAGTTTGAAAGCACATGTACATTTGTCTATTTTGTGCCTGGAGGCATGATTTGAGGTGTGAGTCAAGAGACGTCCCGTGTTTTACAGAAACTCTTCTCAGGCACTCAGAATTGGATACAGCACACGCAGGACAGTGAGGGAGAACGTTCTAGACTAGGACATTTCACCAGTCTACACAACTGGACATTTGCTTTAGAGTGCACTATTATCAGAAACATTTGCGAGGATGCACGTGAAATTTTGAAGTTGTCCAGTGTACACTTTTAACCTTGTTAAGATCTGATGATAATTTGCATTTGAGGTAAAATTCAGCTATATTTGAATTCATTGACATTTCCAGTGTGCCCACGCAAAATTTGTGAAAAATCTGACTGAAGATTTTAATACTAACAGCATTTTTATGCAGGAACCTGACTATCCCAATTTGTGTTTTTGTCTCGAAAATCATGATTATCAGTGTTCTTATTACCGAAAATGGGTCACCTGGGAGACATTCCCATAGGAACGTGCACAAGATTTTTCAAACTTTACCGTCCCATAATTTAATATTCCCTTATCCGATTTTATTCAAACTTTGCATATTTTCCTTTCAGACCCTAATCTATCATCTCTCAAAATGTGGACTGTAAAAATTTTCCTCCTTTTGGTAGTTGGAGCATTAGGAAGACATTGAAATGTCTCCCTTATGACCGATGTCTCCCAAATTTACCACAAAATGTCTCCCAAGTGACCTATTTGGAAATATTCTTGAAATTGCCTGTGTTTCGTTGTGTTGTTGATCACTATATAGTATCACTATATAGTACATGTAGGGCTGATGTCGGTAAAATGACAGATATTACAGACAAAGGAAGGACACAAATACAGTGTGATAATATGATGCAGACTAAGGTCATGATCAGATTAAAGAGACCTCATGAACGACTGCCCTAACAAAACCAAAGAGGTTGCTATCGTAACACCCTTTCTTTAGAAAGATTAGTTTCTACATGTATGAGCAACAACATTATACATGTGCATGTAGATTAATACAACAGTGGTTCAACAACACTTAACTAACATGGCCAAAATTGTTTACGGGTTTCACGAGTTAAAGAAATTCACTCATACAGTATAACAAACGAAAAGTGTCCTCATATAGTTGTGTTGATAGTGCACTATGAGTTCATGTAACATAGTCTGAGATATCCTGGTGGTCTGCGTTCCCTGTTACTGTGTCTGATTGTCGTAGCAGGTTTTGCGGATAGTGTTTCCTGATTGAGACTGTTGGAAGTCGAATCTGAGGACGTCGTTGAGTTTTCCTCTATTCGTGAGCTGTAGCTCGGGAAATTTAGCTCACTTTGCGGCGTGAAGTGCTCGTTGCTCTTCTGTTCTTTCTGATGTGCTTTCTGTTCCATCTGTATTCTCGTTCTGACTTTGTACGATCTGATGTTTTCTTGGGTTTAAATCTGTCCTTTTCCCCCTTCGTTTGTCTGTGCTCTGTGCTCGTGGTTTCATGCGGGTCGCAGTTTTTGCGCAACTGCCGATAAGCTTAGCTCTGTGGTCACTGACGCCCCCCAAAAAACAGACTTGCGACACAAATTCGCCTGTCAGCGTGGGATGTTGACTCCGTTTAATCTGTGATATAAATCAATCAATGTAACTTATCAAAACAAGGTTTCTAACATAACATTCTGAAATATCCGTGTGTTATACTAAGTCATGTGTAATCACACTTATCAACTTTAGTACTAGAAAGATTAACTCACGACTCTGCCGAGATTATAGGCTATCACCAGCAGCAGAACTGCAGCTCCAAAGCAGTCACTTAACAACATTAATTTAGGCTTACATCGTTGAGACCTTCTGGTGCAATATCCAACGATGAGAAAACAAAATGTCGAGCCTGATTCACATCTCAGGAGTTGTGGTTAAAACCGCGTGTGTAAACCCACACGCGTGTATACATTATACATGTACATACTGCATGATGCACTTACAGTGACCTAGATAAGTATACATTCTGGACGCGCAGTTGTGAACGGGTGCCTCGATAGGCAACGGCTACAGATGAAAAAATCATGCACCCAAGGTCAAAGATAAACCTAATTCAGTTTGGCAGTGTGCGCCTGCATAACATCCCGGCCCCTTAAATGGCCCTCCATCTTAGGTACATTTACAACTTCCAATGAGTAATCGGGCGCCTGTGTTATTAACAGCACTACAGACTTTAACTTGAAACATCAAACAACTAAACAGCAGCTTTACTTTAATCCAAATCTAAGAACGTTCCAAAAGGTCCCAGTTGCAGTCTTGACCTCTGCACTCCGAACCAAACCATCGCTTCCAGGGAAGACTTGGCTGATCCTAGCCAAAGGCCCGTGGTTTCGCGGTGACTGATCGCCAACTACTAGCACTAGATCACTTTCTTTGAGGTTCACCTTCCTTTCAACCCAACGCTGTCTTCTCTGAAGA